AAATTAATCGCGATTTGTTTAGCATCTCAACCGATTTGAATCGTCACATATTTGAATCGATTTTCAACCTGCTCGCAGTTAATCGTTACATCCCTAGTGCACACTTTTAGAAAAAATGGCTTAAAGGTTGAAATGCCCATAAAACTTGTTGGAAATTATTAATTTCTATTACTGATGTGAACTGACCACACAGAATATGAAGAATATCAAAACCTTTAGGAGTCAGCTGTCCACGGCAGTCCTTAAGGTACGAGCACAATAACACAATATTTGACAATATTTTTGTCAATATTGCACACCCGTAATTTGTTATTTAATTGATATAATAATTTATTGATAATAATTGTTTAAATTAATATAATTAATACTTTTGACTCATCCATTTTCTTAACAATGGTTTAAAGGCTGAAATGTAAAGTTTATCATTTTATAAAACTTTGTTTTTGTGAAAACTTGTATCTGAGATGTAAATTATGCTTTTTACAGTAATTTTACAGTTTAATATGGTACTACATTGCCCTACCCCACTCATATGGTATTAATTTATTTGTTCAGGTCTTAAAAAAGGTCTTAAAGTCTTACATTTGAGCTTAAAAATCCTGCAGAAACCCTGCAAACACTGTAGGCCTTTTTCTGCTAAGATAACTTTATCCTACAACACAAACTTTTACCAAAAAAATAGCCATCTACTTGAATAGTTTCACAAAGTATTTTGGGCTGTTTTGAGGGGTCAGTATCCTATTAAAAGCCAATCCGTAGAGACCGTCTTCCTGGCTAGGGCCCATCTCAGCAGCGTTGACCACAGAGACGTCTTTCTCACTGTTCACCAGTGCATAATGGTATGTGGCTGGAATGCCAGACTCAACCAGGAAGTGTTTGACTGTTCGAGTTCAACTGCTTTACACTTCTTAATGTCAGACACAAAGCCTTATTGAGTAGTTTTTTTTTAGCACTCTTTTGTGAACATTTCAAACCTTTTGTGTGCTGATGACACCAATGGTCATAGAACAGGAAGTGTTCATGGGAAGGTGATTCATTTACACTGATTGTATGAGAAGACACTGAGACTTATAAATAAAGAATTGCATTTGTCTTTCTTTGTGTGTATAGCTGTAGATCTCTGCTAGTGCACCTGTTCCTGTCACTCATAGTTCATCCTCACCTGTTCCAAATAAACAATCTCACAGGTGCAAGTTAACAGCCTGAGTTTACTCTTCCTGTCTACCATGTAAAATTAAGCTGTGTTTGAAATTGCTTCCTTTTTCCTTATTGAGTGTTGGCCATTTATATTTTGCCATCTCAGCATAATGCCAATTATCTTTGGGTGCAGAAACACTGAAAGGTTTGAGTGGGAGAGAAATAAAGATAAATTATATTTTATCATCACTTTAGCATTATATGACACTGAGGACTGGAGTAACAGCTTTTGAAAATTTAGATTTGGATCACAGGAATAAATTACATTTTAAATGTATTCAAAATGAAAATGGTTATTTTAAATTGTGAAAATATATTACACAATACTAATGTTTTTGTTTTTTTGCTGCTGTTGTTGGTGTTGTTGCAATTCTCTGTCTAATGGTTTTTAAACATTATGAATGCATACCTTAAACATAATAGCCAGAACGAAGAATTACCATTTTATGGTACCATCCATGCAACCACAAATCTGACAATGTATGCATGTTATAAAGTAAGGTTATTACTAATAACTCTATGGCGCAAAGTATTCATTCAGTCATTTATTATTCAAACATCAGTCTGAATTTGCTCGCTTATTTTTATTCACTCCTTTCTATCAGCATTCAGTTACTGATCTGTCAATTCAATTTAAGTTTATTTGTATAGCGCTTTTCACGGTACAAATCGTTGCAAAGCAACTTTACAGCAAATTAAGTTTCTACAATATTTAGTGGTAGCTTATCAGTGGTGACTGTCAGTTAATGTACATATGGCAGAAATGTATGGAAAAATCAATTAAAGACGTAATCAAACAGATGATGAACACTATTAACAGCAATTATTATATGATGCAATCAAACTTATAGCAAAATTTGGTAGTTCTGTATGTTGTTTCAGGGTTGGCATCATCTGAGGTCTTTTTCTAATTTTAGCTTACATGTCTTTTTATTCCATACGTTTCCTTTAAACACACAGAACAAAATATAGTGGATCTTAAATAGATCGATAAAGCCTCTTAATAAGTAAAGCAGCCGCTGCCTAATGTCCTTGAGTCCACCCACACCGGAAGCATCTCTTTTACTGAGTCCCTCTGTTGGCTTCCGGTCCCCTCGAACAAACGTAAAGGCGTCTGAGGAGATCAGTATTGAGTTCTGACTGCGTCTCAGTGACGTCTCATTTTGACTCGTCGTGCGGGTGCGTGGTCGTGTGTAGCGTGAGCCCGGCTCTCTCGCGTCAGCTCTCCTCCATGAGTTCTCTGAACTGTCTCCATCGTGACGTCTCTGTCGGGAAGAGAGGGAACGCCTCTGCAGCTCTTTGTCCATCTCTAAAATACGATTTGGTATTTAAAAATACTGTCATCACTGTGTCCTTGAAAGGCTCCTCAGCGCCTGGTTGCTCAAGGGTATATTTTGGCAACTGGTGCACAGTAAGTTGCTACAGCATAAGCAAGCTGTGTAGTATTTAACATTGCTCCTCCTTTATCACAGGCCTAGTTTGTGCAAGTACTTGCTCATCAAAATGTCTATTATGAGTTAGGACTGCTCATCACATTGTTGTAAATATTTCCTTTGCACTGCTTGTGCAGTCTTTTTTTGAATGTATATCTCCTTCTGGAAACACTAGTTTGAACATTTTCCAGTCCTGCGACTTTTGAGTACTTCAGTATTTTCATTACCCTAAGTGTTGGAAATCAGCACTTCATAAAACATTCTCACTGGTTCCAAGACTCCTGAAGCTGTGACCTTGTGCCCAAGTTGACATCTTTACAAAAGATCAGGTTACACTTCAAATGCTTCCACACTTTTAAAAAAATGCCTCTTGCTGTTGCATCGTCCCAGGAAGCAGCTGAGTTTTCCCAGGCTCAGCTTGTCAGGTGTGGGAGGGGGTTTCGGCCCACACATATCAGAGTCCAGTATTTGGCTTCTGGGAGTGTCTCTGATACCCATGGAGAGAATGGGCAGGGCAAAAGCAGAGAAAAGGGAAAGTATGGAAAGCTGGACAGCTTTTTGTATTGCATAAAGAGACTGTTGTTGAAATGCTCAGAAAGGTGAAGTGAAAGAGCTGACATTTTAAATTCAGCAGCTGCCTTTGTGTGTCTTCCATGTTTTGTGAATGAACAATGTGTTAATTGGGATCTCAAGTTTTCATTCAACAACAAGGCTTGGATGTGAATTTGATAATTGCTGTTTCTTTGTGCTTGTGAAGTGTGAAACCATCATGTAATTCAATGCTAATATTAATCTAAAATGTAACTTCAAACAGTGGTGTCTTTAGTTAGTTTAATTATACTCTCATTTGTTGGTCTGATTTTTTATTACCAATTTCTTTCTATGTACACTACCACAACCATTTTTAAAATGTATAATGTATGTACAATGTAAAGTGTAATTTATTCCTGTGATTGCAAAAGCTTAATTTTCAGCAGCCATTACTCCAGTCAGTAATAGTATTTGTCTTTTTCTGTTTCTAGGTCTGATGCTTTGCTGCAGCCATGTTCAGCAAGAAGAAAAAGTCACGCATCCAGATCTCGGCCCCCTCCAACTTTGAGCATCGTGTTCACACTGATTTTGATGAGCAGGAGCAGAAGTTTGTGGGGCTTCCACGCCAATGGCAGAGCCTCATTGAGGACACGGCCAAGAGGCCCAAACCTTTCATCGACGCCACAGTCATCACTACTGTAGAGCCACGCAAGGTCAGCATGATTGTTTGGTCTAGGTCTTTAGTTTTGTATGTTAATGTTGGTGAGTTACAACAGTATTTTGTCATCTTTTGCCATCTGTTTACTATAAATACCTCATTACCTGTTACCTGTTTGTGCACAGGCAATTGTACGGGGTCGTAAGATCGGCGATGATGGCTCTCTCACATGGCTTCTGGATGAGTTTGAGACTATGTCGGTGATCCGCTCGAACTCCCTGCGGAGAGGCAGCCCACCACCGCAACCACGCCGAGACTCCGGATCTTCGGGAGGGGGGCATGAGAACGGAGAACACCCTCAATACAGACACCCTGATCGATACGGAGACAGCAAAGAGAGGTGCACAACTGACATCTTATTCCAAACTAAATGTTTGGTTTCCAAAGACTACAATGGGAGTATTGACGGTGAGACATTTTTTTAATCTATGTAGGGAGAAACCACGTCAGGAGCACCCAGGTGCTGATCCCAGACAGTCTCAGCGCCCAGCCCGTTCATCCAGAGAGGATGGCCGACATCACCAGCAGCCTCGTGGTCAGGAGCCCAGCAGACACAACGAGCCCAACTGGTCAGGAGGGCCAGTCCCACAGCCCCAGCACAAAGACAGAGACCAAGAGCCACGTGATTATCATGATCAGGTGGTGAGGCGAGAGGGGGCCAATTATAAGAGGCCAAAATCTAGCTACACTGGGAGGGACAGCAACCCACAATCACCTCGTGAGAAGAGACCACTGTCTGGGCCAAATATCTGCACTCCTAACCTACCTGTTACAGAGGGAGTGATAAAGACCGCACAGCAGACCAGCCGACCCTTCAACACGTACCCACGATCCGAAAGTGACTCTGGGAGGAGCCCCAGCGGTCAGGTACACAGAAATCAAACGAAATATATACTACCTTGTTTCTACAACATGATTTTATGTTATTTTTTAAAGGGGTGGTTGATTGCGATTTCACTTTTTTAACGTTAGTTAGTGTGTAATGTTGCTGTTTGAGCATAAAATATATCTACGAAGTTGCGGCGCTGAAAGTTCAGTGCAAGCTGAGATATCGTCTTTTAAAATTCTGGCAGTTTAATGCCTACAAAACGGCTCGTAGAGACTACAACGAGCTACTTTCTGGGTTCGTTACGTCACGAACCCAGATAAGCCCTGCCCGCGGGAACATGCAACAAAGGGGGCGAGGCCATGTTGTGCTGCTTTAGAGAAGAGGAAGAAAAAGAAAAATCTATTCATATGAATTGCAACTCTGTCTTCTAACGATTCTAATGGATCATAAAGTTTCAAAATCAATGTTCTAAAGCAGCGGTTCTCAATCCTGTTCCGTTGCATCGCATCTCTCTCTCATTCAGATCATCAGCTCAGCTCCAACAATGAACTGTTCCATTTCTACACTTATTTTCACATAGCTATGAGAAGCGTTATACATGGATGTGCGTGTGGTTACCGTACTGTATTAAAGCTTTAATCAGGATAAAACCGTATATTAAAAGCTAACAGAAGCAGTAGCATTTACAAATAACAGCGTATCCAAAAGTATGAGACAACAACAAACAAAAACATAGCATTAAGAGCCGTGCTTGCACAGGTTCTGCGCGATCCTCTTCACTAATATTCTCTGGGTCTCAATCAAGCTCAAATTGATAAGCAATATATACGACGCCATTGTTTACAATACAACCGGAGCACATGCCGCTGAGGTGAGGGGCGGGATGATTAGACGCGCACTTGAGGCAGTTTAGCCAATCACAACACTCTGGGCCAGCTAACCAATCTGGGCCCATTGCGTTTTTCGGTGGGATGGGCTTCATAAAAGCAGGAAATGATCAGCGCGTTTATAAGAGAAGGGACGGAGCAGTGTAGAATAAAGGTAAATTATGTTAAAAATATTGTGTTTTTTTTAAGCATTAACACATGTTAGACTGCACCCCATAAACACAATTAAGCCTAGAAAAAAAACAGTCAACCACCCCTTTAAGTATTAATATTTTAAGTAAATGCTATGTGTATATTTTTATGTTTATAAAAAGTTTAATAAAAACAGTAATATAATAGGGTATAATAGGGCTGGGCTGCTAAGTGTTGTACATTTTTATTATATAATAATTGTCTTTTTTATATAGTAAAATGTATTTATATTATAAATTAAACTATGTAAATTTGTATTAAAATTACACTATAGGTACTGTGGGTCAATCATCCTTTTCAGTTAAAGGTTCACATCTATGGAATATCATGCCTGTTGATTTAAAGTTGCAATCAGAACTCACAGTTTTCTCCACAAAGCTGAAACAATGGCTGAAATCTTTACAGCGATGTGAACATTGAGTACATACCTCAGGCTTATTCGGGCTGGGTTAGTTTACATTTTCTTTCTGTATGCAGGTTGATTTACATTTTATGTTTGTGACTTTGTATAAAGTTGTATATGGGCTTAGGTATGACAATATGTACAACATATACACACACAGTTATCTGTATATATATGTTTATTTGTAGTCGTTTTGTTTCTTGTGATGATTGTTTGTTTTTTATTTGGTTGTTTTGATTTTATGTAAAAGCCTAACCAGGGATGAGGGCTGCAAACTAGCTTTATGCTAAATGCCCTATGTACACGGCATCGGTTGTCTGTGTGTAACAATGCCTAGTGTATTGTCCCTGTTAAATAAACAAACAAATAAAAATAAAATAAATTATAGTATAGTATATAATATATGAAAAATAATACTTTTAAAATGAAAATAAATGTGTATATAGCGTTTGATTTTATGTAAAAGCCTAACCAGGGACGAGAGCTGCAAACTAGCTTTATGCTACATGCCCTATGTACACGGCATCGGTTGTCTGTGTGTAACAATGCCTAGTGTATTGTCCCTGTTAAATAAACAAACAAATAAAAATAAAATAAATTATAGTATAGTATATAATATATGAAAAATAATACTTTTAAAATGAAAATAAATGTGTATATAGCATAATTTATAATATAACATTTTATAATTTAAAAATGTATATATAAATTTTACCTTTATTTATATAGAATTATTTATTATATAATAACATGCAAATATTATATTTTAAATGATAATATACAAAGTTGTGTACTGTGTATATTTATGTACAAATACAAACACATGCATGTATATATTTACGAAAGATATGTATATGTTGTTTATATATTATATATTTTTATATATAATATAATTATATAAATGTATATACATGTAAATATTTTCAAAATATATACTGTATGTGTGTGTATTTATATATACACATAATAAATAAACACAGTAAACATACATATATTATGTAAACAAAAACTTTTATTTTGGATGCGATTAATTGCGATT